AGATAAGTGAGGAAAGTTACAAACGGTATAGATAAAAGCAACTCTTCTGATATCTTAAGATTCTTTTAGAAGTAGAGTAACTACACTGTAAAACGCTCTAATTAAGATTTACATCTTTCCTGCGAAAAGACAAATGTCCTTCTGGCACTGGTTTATCTTTCGTTATCCCTTCTCCTATTGTCTGTTAATTGATTACTTAAAAGGGCTATTGACAACCTACTTCAAAAGTGTTTAGTCCTTCAGATATAGGGAGTTACTTCTCAGGAAAGTACCTTTCGTTCTCAGGGGGGTGGAACGTAAACCAGATGAATTCAGATTGATATAGATGGGATAATCGTGTGTCTTCGTATGAGAGAGATATAACCAATGGCAGGCTGGTTTTACAACACGTGAAAGGTTAGAGAAATCCACAGCGGCAAGATAAAAAATGCCTATAGAGATAAATACTTCTATATACATAGGAAAACAACTGCCTAACATCAAGATAAAATATGCCTATAGAGTAACTCTCTACTTAATGCTATATTTTATTTCGTTCCTTTATTTATTACCCTAACAGTCATCTTGGCTGCAACATGCCAGACTGTTTCTTTCCAAAAAGGCAGGCTGGTAGAATGCAGGCTGGTAGAATGTCCTCTCTGCAGGACTCCAACTGCATCTGTCCAATGGGCCCGGTTCTTAGAAAGACGGAGAAACGGGGGTTATACAGGCAGACTTTTTCTCCAAAAGGGGGCAAGGGAAAAGACAAAGAAGCTACTGAAGTTGCCCCTGTGTGTTTGGGAAAACAATGCCGACGCGATGGGACCCAAAATATTGGAACCCACCCTGTGTTTTGTCTGCAAAGTTGCCCGTCCGCCTGTCCCTTCTCCTCCCTTTCGGTTTTGGATTCTGCTGCTGCTGCTGCTGCTTAGAAGGCCCTGTGTGTCCTTTCCCAATCTCTCCCTCTGGCCAGAAACGAAAGCCTCTGGCCCTGTAGGAATGGGTCCTTCTCTGCAGGGCTACTGGACTCTGCGTCAGGACCCTGGAGAGCGGCTCTTTCCGGGACTCTCGGAAGACTGAAGAATAGGGGGATGGTTCCGTCTCTTGGACCGAGCTTCAACTTCTCCAGACTCTTACCCAGAACTCATTTCAATGGCATAATGTTGCTCTAGTTTTCGCCTGCTATTATTTGTCTCAAATTAAGTGCCTTGATGGTTTAAAAACCAAAAGTACCGGTGTTGGAGGCGTGCTCTGTTAAGGCTACTCTTCCGTGAGTTTAGGGTGAAATGGAGGGTGGTGATTGTTGTTAAGGGGATTTTCAAAGTTTAGGTTACAGCTGTATTTATTGCCACAGTTTAATTTAGTATGTTAAGATTTATGATGCAATCTATTTGGTTATTTTCTAATTTTATACTTGGTACGTTATTTTATAGCTAGCCGGCTTTTGTTTCTTCCGCCGTCAAGGCACCTCAGAATGATTAAATTTATAGCAACATGAATGCCATTAAAATTCTTAAAACAAAATAGGAAGCTGTCAAATTATAGCTCGGCAAAGGAGAGGAGTTCGTACCTTGTTCTTAAATACCTGGAGGATTTTGCTTCAGAGCCCGGGAGCCATAACGGAAAAGGCCCTTTCCCAAAGAGCAGACGATTGTGGCCGTGGGAAGAGACGAAAACATAGAACTACGCTGCCTTCTGTCCGATCTAAGTATAGTACATAAAATTATATATTGCGATGTCCTACCTGTCAATGAATACTTCAGCTTCGACTATAACAATACAAGAGCACGCAATAGATACAAACTCAAGGTAAACCGCACCAAACTCGATTGCGGGAAATACAACTTCAGAGTGGTCTATGTCTGAAAACAGAGTGGTCTATGTCTGGAATACTCTACCTGACTTTGTGGTTTATTCACCGAACCCCAAAAACTTGTATAAAAGGAGAGTTCTAATATAGTTTTTTTTAAAAAACAGTGGGCCTGTTTTACCAGTTCTCCTATCAGGTGACCGTCTTCTCCTTCGACCCAAGTAGGGCGGGAGGTGTCCATTTCATAACTGGCCCATACATCGCATTACGATCGCACAATCTGGATACTAGCAGTGAACGTTAATGCAATTTCAGGAAAACAAGCTGGTGGTGACATCATTTCTCCCGTATGCATCTTTTAAGTTTTGTTTCTGGGTGGGGAGGAGGTAAGAAAGACTGCAGAGGCAATCTGCAGCCTTGATGGATGTGTGAGAAAGCCAGAAGGGGCTGGTTAGTCAGGCCTACTGGTGGTGGTGCCGGAATAGAGGCGTGCGGGTGCTGGGAAAATCAGAGAAGATGTGGTGGGTAAATAAAATAAAATCACAATCTCGAGCGCACTTACCCTAAATGTCTTATTGGTATTCTTGGTTTAGTTATATAAAACTATCTTTCTCCTTTCTGGTCACCCTCTGCTTCCATTACAAGCAGCCAGCAGCTCCTCCCACAACCTCTGGGAATTTAAAATGCAATGGAAGCAATTCAAGCTGCCTCTCTCCTTTGTACTCACCCTCTGCTTCCTTCTCAAGCAGCCAGTGGCTTGTCCCACAACCTCTGGGAATTTGAAATGCAATGGCATTAATAATTGTCTGGCTTCTCTCTGCATTTCATTGGCCAAAGAATTTCAACCGGTGGGATCTAGCAGGAATACCTCAGGCGAGCTCCTATCTTCTGCTTTCCCAGAAGAGTGTTAGCGGCATAGGAGTCTAAGAGGGTGATGCGACTCTGGAACGCCTGGTGGCTTGAGGGCACTTCTTCTACCTTATTAACTTTTTTGTCTTCTGATTTTTTAGAACTTGTTTTAACATTGATTTTCATTTTGTGTGTGTAAATTTTAACCTTGTTCTTAGTTGTGTGTTTATATTATCGTGTTGTTATAAACCGCCCAATCAATTAGGTGAGATGGGCAGTGTCGAAACTTAATAAATTCCCTCAATATGTTGGCCCCGAACTTAAGCAGTAGCTGGTGATAGTTCATCTGATCTGTCACCGCTAATCCTGGTCCCGGAGAGTTAACTCAGAACCTTTCATTATTTCAATTTACATTATTAATGTGACACGTTCTGCTAGAGAGAAGCTTCCTGAGGCGGGGCTCCAGCACATATCCGAAAGCTCGGAAGACTAAATCTCTGGTCCCGGTGACTGATTGGCTCCTGGGGCTGATTGGATCCTGGAATATGCCTTCATTCGTAACAAGCGTGAATAGATTAAATAAGACAAAATGTGCCTTGAGTTATGCTACTATTAGATAGATAGGTAGCAGATTAAAAGTCATACCCGATGTATGGACAACATCTGGAATAACAGCTGGGAGTAAGTGAAAGAGACTAGGGGTCGACAGCCCCGTTTGCATGCAAAGCTCCAGTTGCCCGAGCGGTGGGTGCATGTGTCTGCCACTCGCACAAATGGAGCTGCACGCACAAACCTGGGTTTCACACAGAACCATCCACCTCCACACATCCCGGGGCCAATTCATCAAGCCGGAAAGGTAACGGATCACTGAAATAGATATACTCTTCCATTCAAGACATATTTCTCTGAGTTAGGGTGAGGAAAAGCTATCGTTTTGGAGCACAGTAGGTCCTTGATATGGTGGAATGATGGGCTGAAGTCAGGAAGAAGAATTTCAACAAAAACGAAGGCAAAGTCCTTGATTCAAAGGCCTGTGTGAAGCAGGGCACAGTAAAGGGTTTGAGTACACAAGCTGGAGCCTGCATCACCGGCCTCAGCACCAGCAGAGGGCCATCCTCTTAACCTTATTCTTATAATAAAGACTTATTCTTTCCAGTTCCGTGCTGGTTACGGCATCTTTACGCTACAGGTAATCCTCAGGCTACGACCAATTCCGACCAGAATTTCTATCACTGAGCCACGTGGAGGTTGTAAAGTGGGACGTCACGCTTCTCACTGCCAAGCGAGAACCTCACCTGGCCACGACGGCTGACCTGGTCCAGCTGGCCTCCTCACTGACGCTGTTTGGGGGAAAGCCGCAAATTGTGAAAATGGGACCGTGGGGACAGCCGGAGCCTGTACCGGAGGCACCGGGGACACTATCCTTTCAGGGCAGTCGTAAATTCAAACAGTTGCTGAACGGACAGACCGAGCCCCAGGTCGGGGGTCCCACGGCAGGGCAGAGGAGGGGAACGCGGGGGGCTTCGGGGGAGAGGTCCCACCCGCAGCTGTGGCACAAAGGGGGGGAGGACTCGCGCGGAGGGTGGGGGAATCCGAGCTTTTTTCCGTGACCCCAACGGGAGCATCGGGGGCCGAAACCTGTGACAGGAAACACGGGTGACGGGAAGCCCGTCGGGGGCGCGCACGAACCGACTCCCACAGGGAAAAGAGCCTTGCGCGCTCCCGGCAGCGGCTGCCTCCTCGGCGGGGTTTGCGGGAGGCGGAACGAGCGGCCGGCGGAGCTTCGGCTGCGCTCGTGCTTTTCCGGCGGTGGCGGCGGCGAAGCGAGAGGGACGCGCCGTGCGCAATGAGGCGAGCGCGCACGCCCGGCCCCGCCCCTTTGTCTGTGGAAAAGAGAAGAGAAAAAACTTTTTTTTTTTTAATTGAGGAATCAACAGCCGCCATCTTGTCGCGGAGCCGGAGCGTGTCGCGGGCGGGAGCCGGGCCGGGCCAGGGCGGGAGCCGGGCCGCGGGGAAGCCGCCGCGGGGCCGCTGACGCCTCACGGACGGGTCCTTTTGCGCCTCGGCCGCCCGGTCCCTCCAGGACGCGCTGCCAGCACCGCGGGCCGCCGCCGCCACCCGCCCGCCCCGGTCTAGCGGCGTGAGTCCCGCCGTGCCCGCTCCCCGTGGGGACGCTGGGCCCCGAAGGCGCGGCGGGCCGGTGGAGGACAGGGAGAACGGCGTCCGCTGCGACTGACCGCCCGCCTGACGGAGGGAGGAGGAGGAGGAGGGAGGGGGCGCGGGCGCCATCCGGGCACTGCGCGAGGGGGAGGGGCGCCGCCGCGCTTCCGCCGCCGCCGCCGCCGCCGCCACTGGGGGTCCTGCTGCTGCTGCCCGTCGCGGCCGCCGAGATGGGGGTCGCGCAGCGGCGGGGGCGGCCGGTAATGAAGCGCTGAGGAGCGGAAGGCGGCCCAGCCTCTCGGCCAGCCCCGCCACGGCGGCGAGCGGGAGAACGACGCGGAGGAGGAGGAGGCGGCGGCGGCGGAGGAAGCCGCGGCCGGCAGAGCGCGGAGCCGCGGGGGAGACCGAGGCCGCAGCGGCGGCGGGCGGCGGAGGCCATGGCGGAGAACTTGCTGGACGGGCCGCCCAACGCCAAGCGGGCCAAGCTCAGCTCGCCCGGTTTCTCCGCCTCCGACACCACAGGTGAGCCGAGGCTGCCGGCCCGGGCGGCCTGTCAGCGAGGAGGCCCTCGGCGGATGTCCGGGCCGCCCGGCGCTGGGCTTCTGTTTCGCCCCTCGTTGCCCGAGCCCGCGGGGCAGCGGCTCTGAGATCGGGGCCGCAATCGCGTGTCCCGAAAGATCGGGCAGGAGGAACCGGGGCGGTGGCGGCGAGGGGAGGACTGGAAGGTGCCGCTCCACAAGGTCACCGGCTTCTGTCAAGCCAGGGTTCCCGGGAGGCGCATCGTGCCGAGCAAAGGAGCCTTTCGCGGCAGCCCCGGCCCTTCTCCCTTTCCCTTGGACGTTCTTTGGTGCCGGGCATGTTAAAAAGCCCCCAGTCGCTTCCTCACAAATGCCAAAACATTTCCATGATCTTCCGTTGTCAAGTAGAATGGTGGTTGTCTTCTGGAAGTATTTAGTTTACTTCAATGAATGTTCTTCCCGACTCCCAAGCGATTCCCTAGTGTAGGGCTTTTAGTTGGATCTGATTACGAGGCGGTCTTCCAAAGATGCTTGTGAAGTTGTGGTTGCAGAGTTCAAAAGCCTCTTTCTTTGATCCACGGTGGTATAACTTAAACTCAGAGAGGTGCTTAGCTGTGATGTGGCTTCAAAATTATTACATGTTTCAGCAATGTCATACATTATGTTATAGAAACGAGAGAACTTCCTGCTTTCCTTTTTTTGACATTGTGTCCCAATCTATAAAACGCAGGGAGGGAGCAGCTATAGAAAAGGCTCACTAGCTCGACTTTCTTAATTGGGGGAGGGGGGGGGGACACCCAGGAAAAGACGGTCCTTCAAATGAGCACAATGAATAAAATACTGCATTACCAAAATTCCATTACACGCATCTCTTTTTAATTTTGAAAACACTTTTTGATGTATATTACATACTTGTTTGAAACATTTGTCACCTTCAGATTTAGATAATGTTAATATACATGTCTCATATTTCAATGTTCCTATCTGTGTAATGACTTGAACAAAACTTAAAGAGTTGTTCAGGCCTAGAGGTAAACTATTTGTTTATCTGATTGCCAGTAAACTATATTTTACTATTACGTTCGGCCTGAGTGATGCGGTTTATGGGAAGCTTAGAAGTTACGTTTTGAGAATACGTTGCTAATTGTAATGTGGTACAATCTCCGTAAACCGTATGCAACGATTGTTTACTTTTGAAACATCTCTTCCTCCATTCCACTGCCCACAGACATAATCAGCATCCCTAAACCATTTGTCTGTGAAGGTTCTCAATTGTCCGGGTTATAGTTGTGCCAAAACATGCTTTTTTCAAAGGGCAACAGAACTTTCTTGATTTTTCCTTGAAGACATCTTCAAGAAATTGAAACTTCTTCAAGAAAAATCAAGAAAGTCCTGTTGCCCTTTGAAAAGTGCCTTTTGGAATATTCCTAAACCATAGTTATATGTATACGTTTGAAAATTCAAACTAATTTTTACATTCTGAAGATGCTAGCTGTGCTAGTGTTGTGAGAATCTGGATGTTTTTTACACTTTAGCTTTTGCTTTAGGGTTTAAACAAATGCACGGTTTCCTTATAGCAGCAGAACCCTTCATTACTATTACAAATATAGGAATCCGCTGAACTAGCTGGTCCTGCTTGCATTTCTATCGATTATATTTTGTTTGAGATTTTCTAAACCGTGATAATACAGTTCATGTTCTTACGTGTATTTTTCTGTTCGTGGATTTCTGATCGTATGAATCATTTTCTAAATGTTAAAATAATACTTTGTATAGGAAAACAAATGATAAAAATGTTTTTGAATCATTTAATTTACTGTTGTTCCTTGTTTAATTTCATTACTTTTGCTTTATGTGTTTTTAAAGGAAGTATTATTATATGATATTTTTATTTTCTCTGGCAACTGCCTCCATCAATATGTTAGGTAAAAAAGCTGTGCTGTACAGCATTTGTTTTGTGTTCTAAACTATGTTCAGAATTGATTTAACTGGGTATAAATTTTTTCTTGCTTACACGAATTTCTGTTAACTTTACAGAATTTGGAACTTTCTTTGATTTGGAAAACGATCTTCCTGATGAATTGATCCCCAATGGAGAGCTGAACCTTGTAAGCAGCAGTGGAAACGTTGTTCCAGATGCAGTTTCTAAACACACACAACTTTCTGAACTTCTGAGGGGAGGCGGTGGCTCTTCTCTTAACCAAGGAATTGGGAATGTGAACTCCGGCAGCCCTGTCCAGCAGAGCATCAATAGCCAGGTCTCGGCACAACCGAACAGTGTGAATATTGGCAACTTGAATGTGATGGGCAAGAGCCCGTTAAATCAGGCAGACGCTGGTGTTTCAAGCCTGGCCAAACAAGCAGCCGGCACATCTGGGCCCAACACCACAGCCACTCCAGGCCTGAATTCTCAAGCACAGAAACAAGTGGGAATGGTGACAAACAGTCCAGCAACCTCCCAGACAGGTTCTGGGATATGTATGAACACTGGCTTCAACCAGGCTCATCCAGGTCTTCTCAACAATAACTCTGGCCACAGTTTAATGAATCAGAGCCAACAAGGACAAGGGCAGGTAATGAATGGTTCCCTTGGGACAACTGGAAGAGGCCGAGGTGCCGGATTGCAATATTCTGTCCCCACCATACAGGGAAATGCAAGCAATGTGCTGGCAGAGACCTTGACGCAGGTGTCTCCTCAAATAACAGGGCACACAAGCCAGGCAGGAGCCATGGCAAAAGTATGTGGGGGTCACGTAAACTGGGGAATGGTTTGTAATTTTATTATATCATTGCAGCTCTCATTGAAATAACTAATTTTCAAAAGATATCGGAATACGTAATTTAATTATCTAAGGTCTAGAGCAGAGGTGGCCAAGTGCTACACAATATTTTGGGAAATAGAGTAAGAGCTACAAAATAATGATTTGCATTCTTTGGTCTTATTGGATTGTTTTGGATTGTTTTTTCCTTGCTATCTGTATTGTTTAAAATCTCACAGGCATATAGTTGGACTTGTATTTCAAGTCCATGTGTTTTTTAAATCTCAGATTGGTACAAAACTGGCTGAATTTTGCAGTTACGCTGCCAAAATTTATTGGTGCAATCGGGATCAGCGGGTCACAAAATAGTGGGGCGGAGGAAGGGGCAGCACGGCCTTTCCCTAGTTTAGAATAGTTGGCAATTATTTGAGACTGGTGCTGAATTTAAACTTGATTTTGTACTTGATCATAATTTTCCCAAGTATGGTATTTCCCTGAAACATTGAGTTATATCTTTGAGCTGGCTGCCTTAAGATAATGCCCCAAATTGGAATTGGGGAAACTTCTCTTTTTAAAAGCTGGTGTTTTAATCAGGTCTTTGCTGTTTTTTAAAAGACGGCGAGAAATAGTTGTCTTGAGTTCTGGCTATGGTAGCATTGTTGCCACTGGTCATTCGTGGTATCATATCACCTGAATTGCCTGGAATGCAACAATTAATATTTTCTGTCATTGTTATATGCTGAATGTTTGGATTGGACTCTTTGCTCTGCATTTATTTGTGACAATATTTTTTCTTTCAACATCGGCTGATTTATGAAATGATCGTAGAACTATAAACTTAGAAGGGGCTAGTGAGGCATGAACTCTACTCCTTGTAGGATCCACATTAAGGCATCTCGAACAGATGGCTTCTCTAGCCTCTGCTCAAAGACTTGAGGTTGGATAATCACCCCTTCTTCGCATAATTGGTTCCACTGTTGGATTCCTGTTGGGGTTAGGGCATTTTCTAGTAGGAATCTGCCATCCTATAATTTCTGCATATTATTCCATATCCTGCATTTTGGAATACTGTGGCACAGGCCACAATAATTGGTATGATTTCCTTCCACATATTTGAAGACTGCTGTCACGTTCCACCCCTACCCCTATCCCGTGCCTTCTCAGAGCTAGCTGTTCCTAAAATCTTCTGCCTTTCTTCTGAGGACCTGAGGTTTTTAATCCCTTGATCATCCTGATTATCTGAATTGGTTTGTAACTCTGGTGCCCATTTACTATGTACAATCCTCAAGAGTCAGATTTCAGATATTTCAGATAGAAATATAACGTCCTGCCATTTAAAAAATTATACTTTGATTAATGCCATCTAACACTGAATTTTCCTCCCAAGCAGCTACATTGCTTTGTTAATTTTGGTGCATTATAATAAGCTGGTATTCCAAGTTTAGTATTGAAAATGCTGTTGCCGAGCCAGGTATCTGCCATTCAACATTGGTGCATTTAATGTCTATTTCCTAAGTGAAGAATTTTGCATTTTTCTGTTATTTTCAGGCCATTTCTTTAATCAAGCCCTAATCGGTTTTCTGTCATCTGTACATTTGTTCAGCATTTCCTTTTTCATCAAATTAGTTAATAAACATTTTGAATAGTACAGAGCCTAGGATTGACCCTTGTGATATCATATTCAGTTCTTCTCAATTTCAGTTTAATGAAGATCTGTTTATGAACCCATTGAGAATATGATTTTGAGCTATCTGTATCTCCATTTAATTATCATGCTCATCATCCCTAAGTAGTTGGCTCATCGGAAACAAGATTTAATGTACCAAAATCAAGATATATTATATCTACAGTATTTCTATAGATTTGATTTTAAAAACGAAATCAAGATATTTGGGCAAGATTTGTTTTCCATAAATCTATGCTGACTTCTGGTAACTGCTGTATTATTTTCAAAGTATTACTGACACAGCCATGTCAAGAAAGGCAATTAATTTGAATATATAGAAGTTTGATAGTCTAGACATCTGATTGGCTAGGATTCTGCAGATTTCAGAATATTCCACTGAAAGTTATAGCAACCCCTTCAACAAATTCTGGGAATTGTGTCATTGTAGCTGAGAGACAAAATGGTATTCAGAAGTGTATATCCAAGCAGAGTCTAGAGAGGCACTTTAATTTGCAGACACCCAGGAAAAGGATAATATAGTATAATTTTAACACCTTTGTCATCAGATTATTGGACATAAGATTATGAAGTCCAAAAAATGGAATGCTTTATTGCAAAGAGGTCTGTTTCAAACATACGATTTATGTGAAATGAACATACATCTAAGGAATAAATATAAAACTATATTTATCATCGTTTATGATGAGCAATTGAGAGATTAGTAAAGCAAAGAAGCATAATTATAGGTTCTGAATAAAAGACAGAACTTTTTTTGTTTTGGTTGTACCAAGAATGAATCTACTATAGTAAGTGGAATGACTGCGAGAAGATAAATTACAAATCCTGTATAAATAAACAGTTGATTATTTAATCTCCTAAGAGTAGGAACAGAAAATTAAGGAAATTAAATGCATGGGCTTCTTGGGACATAGTAAAACAAATTATATTATAGAATGCCCCCCCAAAAGGGGAATTATGCTGGTTCAATGTTTCAAAAGGGGAGCTTGGTGAAATCATTAAATAAAAGAAACCGTGGTTTAGAAAATGCATATAAGAGAATGCTACAGAAGAAAGTAAGAGAGAAAGATATTGTATAATGAGTATATATAGAAAAAATAAATACAAAAATGTAATTAAAGAGAAAATGGGATAGTTAAGATTAAAAGGGGTAGAAAAATGCAGAATGATTTTGATGGAAGCAAATAGTTGTTTTGGAAGCGGGTGAAGAGGAGCCACCAGTAGAGTGGAATTAAAAATAAAAATTATGAAATTATTTGGGATGAAGCTGCAGTGAGGGAATAGCAGAAAGAATACTTTAGAGGCTTGTATGGAAATGTCAGTAAAAACAGGAATTGTCACAACTACTGTTATTGTTACTATTATATGGCCAGCAGTCAAAAAGAACTAAACTGAAAAATGAAGATGCATAAACACTGACTAGAAAACAAATCAATATGAATTTTCCAGGAGAGGCAGAAGCGCAGGATTGGACAATCTGGAAAGATCTATCCCAACAAACAGGAGGTACAAATGGAAACAGGTCCTTGATCAAAATGTGTTCTTTAAGATGGGATCAGTTGATGAGTTGCGGGTCCCAGTGCCGGGATGAATCAGCTGACGACCTGCACCCAGACAGACTGTCTGGGTGGGCTCCTCTTGATGGCAAAGATGACAGACACAAAGGTTTCTTTTGGTGAGAGGAAAAGAGCCCAGAGCAAACTTTGCCCCTCTCTTTTATTGTGCAGCAAGCAGGGGGGTGGGTTTAGGTTACATGAGGTTAGACAGGAACAGGAAACACTGCCATATATGGTTAATCCTTATGCTATAGCTGACTCAGGATTTTGTACAGGAACAGGAAACATTGCCATATATGGTTAATCCTTAGTGACTCAGGTTTTACACGTAGCTGTTCCTATAGTGTCACCCTATATATGTATTGTATGTGTATTGGGTTGTCTGTGTACGTGACTTCCTACTGATGTGTCATATCGCAACATCTCCTCTGTTTTTATCTTGTTTTTAGGGCTATTTACTCACTATCCTCACTGTTATGTCCAGTCTAGGTCCTCCGACTCATCCTGTCATAGGTTCATGAGAATTCGTGGTTCCCCTTTGGCAGCATCTTTGGTGAACTCGTTATCAGAGTCATCGGAATCTGAGGAGAATTGCAAGAGGGCCTTTTTCTCTATTAGCGCATTAATTTGTTTTTGTTTTGAGTATAAATCCGAATCAATTTGGCCAAATTTTCTTTTAAGGATTTCTAAGAATTTACCTATCACACATGGTCCAATGGTACATGCCAACAAGAGAAGGATAAGTGGACCAGCTATAGCAGATAACAATGTTGTTAACCATGGGGAAAGGTTAAATAGTCCTTGATACCAAGTATGTTGTGAAGCTCGTTCCCTTTCTCTTAATTTTAATCTGGTGTCTAGTTCTTTCATGGAATCTAGGACAACTCCTGAGCTATCAGCATAGAAACAACACTCTTCTTTAAGAGCAGCACATAGTCCCCCTTGTTTCAAAAACAAGAGGTCTAGGCCTCTGCGGTTTTGTAAGACCACCTCAGATAAAGAGGTAAGAGAAGTTTGCAAGGCAAGAATGGATTTTTCGACCCTTCTAAGATCTTCATCTATGGTGGCACTTAACTGGCGAAGATGCTGATCAGAAGTAACAAGGCCAGCTATACCTGTGGCCGTCCCAGAAGCCCCCAATCCCAGCAGTACAGTTAGCATCAAAGCAGTTACTACTTCTCTTTTTGCCCTAAGGTTATATTGTCTAGGTTCTAGTAAAGAAACAAAATCTTCTGAGTTATATACATCAATTTTGGGAAACAATTGTACCTGAATACAAAATGATTTTTTTGTCAATAATACATAATCATTTCAGCAAAGTCAAAATGTAATTTGGGGAAATAGGAAGAAATCATGGTGTAATTAGTTGTAGAGTTGAGTATTTGTCCATAAGCGTCCTTGATGACCCATGTGATGTTGTGTGGTTTGTGGGCGTTAAGGCTGGTGGATGTTCCATCAGTCCAGCGAAACGAACAGCCAAGCAGGAAGAAGAGGAGTGCTGTCATCTTTTTCGGATGATGGCTTCGCTGGTTGTGGGCGGTGATATGGGCGGACACACCTTGCAGGAACCCAAAGAGTTCTGTCAGGAAGCTGGACTGCTGCGTAGCCTCGACCCCAGGTGATCAATTCGGCAGGTCCTTTCCACGCAGGATCAGGTAACTGTCTATAATAGACTAGTGGTCTCGAAGTGGGAACAGGTGGTTTAGTAAAGTGTCGAGATGCAGCAGACAGGGGAGGGG